AGACATTCTGAGATCCACTCTGGAGACTGGGAAGATGCAAACAACAGGTACCTGGAGGCTTCATTATGTGTGGGCTCATTTACTCAATTCCAGGGTCAGTGCTTAGGGAGCCTGGAGAAATTTTTGCTTCAAGTAGTAACTGCTTTAAAGGAAGGTAGTTTATTTAGCTGAGTTTTACTTGTTTGAATAAGCACATTGTGTGTGTCTGTGTGCGCACATGTGTGTGGGTGCGCACGTGTTTTTGCACTGTGTTTGTTTACAGATGTGTCTTGAAAATCCATAGTGACTAATCTAGGCAACTCAAGCTTAGAACCATACCATCCTGGATCTCAAGAAGTTTAGGCCCTTTTATTTGTAGGCAGAAACTCTACCTGGTTTTCTTTTTGGAATAAAGGTATTTAAATATGGCCATGGTTCTGCAGCCAGCAGTTCCTGCTGCCTCTCTTTGCCCTGTGGTATTCAAGACTGGAAGTGCACAGTCTTTAGACCCAGAGATTTTCTCACGGAAGCTAGGAAACAGAGATGAGCTTTTGAACACTCTATTCTCTTTACCCAGAATTTTCTTCTCTTCATTTGACAAACAATTATTAGTCTGTCAAGACTCAACTCCAAACTTTCTTCCCACTAAAGACTTTCCATGAGTTAGCTTATTTCTTCTTTAGTAATTTCTTAACCACACATAGGGTATTTATCTGTGTTTGTTCATTCTTTAAGCACTTAGTGTGTATCAGGCCCTGTGCTAGTTGCTGGAAATACAGAAAAGGACGAGATTCTGCTCCAATTGTTGAGGAGCTCATGGTTTTGTTGCAGGTGATAGGCAATCCTAATAACTGAAAAGTAAATGTAAGTGAGACAAGGAGGAGACAGCCTTTGGTTAAACTCAGGTTGATTACAGAAATTACGTTGTGTAGGTAAAGTGAGATCAGGCACAAAAAGGTTTTAGAGATTTGGATTTATCACTTTTAAGTATCTCTCAAGTGATTCTCCTGTGCCCCTCCTGTTCCTGGGATTCAAAATTCCTTAGCAACTGTCTTCTTAAAGAAATGACCTTCTTTACCACCAGCCACCCCCTGCCCTCTTTCTGTCTATCTGGTGATTTTGCTTCCTTGTTGAAAAAAGACATACTCAGTACTGGGATTTGGTTTATCGATCTGGTAGCAGTGTGAAGATAGACTTGGGGTTGGTAAGAAAAGTCAGGAAAACCAGCAATGCTGCCGACATAACAGAGGTAATTGGGATTGATCCAAAAGAGTGGCACTGGGCCCAAAGAGGAGGGACAGTTGTGAGAGACATTTGAGGCAAATCAATAGGGCTTGTAACTGAATCAATGTGTGGATCAAGGGAGAGGGAAAAACCAATCATTTCATAAACTACTCTCATTAGGTTTATTTATGCCGACTCTGATTATTTACAAATATATATAGCTTCCTACTGCAACATGAATCAAAGAAAATGATCTCTATATTAACAGTCCATTATTAGACATCATTGGTGGCTATGAGATCTCAACAGGAAAGGAGTAGAGTTAGGCAAGAGAGCTCAGTGCTTTATGATGGGACAAATCAGAAAGACTGTAGAAATGGGGAGCTGGGTTGTTATAGATATGTGGTACCTGGCAAAATGGAGAGTCATTCAACTTCAGTAGCAACTAGCAACTGTTTAACACTTTCACATATTTTTGTCTCAATAATGAGACAAAATAATTCTATGAAATAAGTGATAGCATCCCATTTTACAGATGGGAGATGTACAAGGAGCCCACTCTACTACCAACAGTAAATGTATTGGTATCGGGTACGAGAAAGAAATAAACACATGTGGCGTGGCTATAGAAACCAAGCAGGCAAAACGGTCAAGAGAACCTGCTGTGAACTCCCCTCACTCTGTAGACTGCTTTAGCTGAGGATAAGATTCCAGTAGCTTTTATTATAGTTTATTCATAGCATTTAATTTAATTTAGGATCCAGTGTCTAGGCCTCCTAATGAGGCTTTGGAATTGTGAATGAGAGTCTTTCAGAGCCCTAAATAAGATTGGCCCCATATTCACCTGAAGTTCTATCTCCCCCCACACTGTCTTCTACCCTGCTTCTGTCACCTAGAGCTGAGGTGTCCAACCTTTCTGTGGATGAAAAATGTTTAATTTTAAAATATTCATAATTTAAAAATTTTTAAATGTTTAATTTTAAAATATTGCAAGTTGATAATAATTGAAGAATAACAGTTGCACCTATTGATAGAAAAAGTAAATTCTGAAAAAAAATTATGAATTAGTAATTGATACTTTCAAATGAATTGTGGTACTTTCAGAAATAGTGGTTCATGCTTTTGTCCATATATATTCAGTCTACATATAAGGGCTGATGCACACAGGAATCCTGGGACTCCTTGCAGCGATTCTGAGGCATCTAGAAGAGAAGAGGGAATGATGCTGTGAGATCTATTTGGTAGGTTGTGAAGTACATAAGTAGAGGACAGGGGAAGAGAATCTGGAGGAGAAATGTGGGCAGGTGCTGAGTGGTTTGTTAACACATGGCAGGTGCATCCAGGAAGTAATACTTGGAATAGTTTCCTTTTACTGGAACATAGGTTCAAGAACTGTAGGAGAAACTTATTTACAAAGTCAGGATCTTCTGGGAACAGAAAATGCTCTAAAGGAGAGAACGTTGTTGTTAAAGCTGGACTTGTGTCCTTATCAAGGATGGCTTGATGTTGACCTCAGGATGACCCAGAGAGCGATATGTGTGGGGAGTGGTGGCAGAGAAGACACTAACTGCTACTGCTGCTTCCCACGTGCCCGGTAGTGTTATGATGTTATGCCCATAACACTGTTGACTCCTCACAGTAACCCTGGGAGGTTGATATTATCAACCCCACTGCACAGATAAGAAACAAAACACAGGGAGGTTAAGTGATTTTCCCTAGGACACATGTTCATAATGGGGAACCTGTGATTCTGATGCATTTCTCTCTAGGCGCAAAGCCTATGCTCGGTCTACAATATCATACTGTTTTAGTGTCTCCTAATCAAGGTCACTGGTTCTTGGAGAGACAATAACTATGGAGGTTGGGTGAGCAATAACTATGGGAAAAAGGAAAGGCACAGAGGGTAATAATCCAATGGGTCCCAAAACGATCATTCTTCAGCAGCTTTTGGTCCATTTTAGACTTCTGGTCTTCCTTTCCTCTTTGTGGTTGTATTGAGGGGAAAAGGAATGCACCAAAGTATTCTAGGAATAAAAATATAGTAAAAAATATAATTTCTGAATTTCCAGACTGATTTCCAAAGTTCAAGGACATCCTTAATAGAACTTGACATGTGCGTAAATCCACAATTTGGGGATGAGGTTTTCTTTTCCTAGTAATATGGAGTAGCATAGTTTAGTTATTATAAAGGAGAAAGCTGGTTAAAGCAATCATCAAGAGCTTATAATGTAACTACAGACTTTGGGGCTGGATTGCCTGTGTTTAAATACTGATTCTGCTTCATACTAGCTGTGTGGCCTTGAGGAATTAATCTTTTCAGGTCTTGGTTTCCTCACTTATAAAATAAGAATAATAAAATACCTATATCATAAATTTATAGTGAATATTAAATGAATAAAATTTTTAAAGTAATGCCTACTACTTAGGATACATTTAATAAATATACCAAAAGGAGATATCACAAAAGGGGTCAAACATCCTGAAAGCATTAAGAAAATGAAAGGAAAAAAAGCAAGAGGGACTGCCTGCTGATGTTCATTGCATTTTAGCTCCCCACAGCTGTCTTCCTTCCTGTCTTCTTTCTTTGATTCTTTCTTTCTTTTAATAAATAATTACTGAGCATCTACTATGTCCCCAGCACTGTTCAAAGTGATTGACCCATTGATATATATACCACCCGGCTTAGGCTGGATTCTCTAGAAGCAGAATCTGAAACAAGGTCCTGGGTATAGTGACTGCTCAAGGAGTATTCTCAGAGGAAAGGGAGAGAAGCAGGATGGAACAGGGAATAGGTTAGCAAGGATGGAGTCTCAGCTGGAGGCTGACTTCAACCTGATCTAATGGAAGGATCTAGAATTGTATTTTAGAGTTGGTCCCATCTTGAGACAGGGTAGATGACTTTTCATACAATATGTGTCATTTGGGCATTTCTTGTGGTCTGCCCCACAAGAGATGTGGGGTTTGTGTCATCTTAGCCTCCTTTCAGCCCAAGACAACTCCTTGTAGTAAAAGGCACTATAAGCAGTTAGCATTTCAACAGTCCTAGCAACTGAGGCTGGGCACACCAGTCCAGCAAAGGGAGCTGGGCAGAACAACAACAGAGCTTTCCATTATACTACCCAAGGTGTTTGGGAAAAGGTGACAGGATATGAAAGATGGGGCCCTTCTTTTTCAATTCTCAAGTGTGAGAAAATACATTTTACGGTTTTTGCTTAAACTGCTCAGAATTGAAACTTCTCATTCAGCTTTTAAACTGATTATCAGAGCCTATGTCAACATAGCTATCTAGGGTTCATACATGTCTTAATAATTAATGAAGTGAATTTTTTGTTGTTGTTAACTGTAGTATAAAACATAGCATAGGAAGTATCAAGTGTAAACATTGGAGAACCTGTCATTGTAGTTCCCTGATTTTCATGCTGAGGCCAGGCTCAGCTTACATAAACTACTGTGATGTGATGATATATATTCTTCCCATCCTCCCTGCTAGTTCACAATACCTTATGCCAAGAGTAACAGGAATAATGTCTAACATTATAGTACGTTGAATGGATATGCTTTATCTTATTTGATTTTTATCAAGCTTGGTAAACCTACCTATCGGACTTGGCAAATTCATCCATCTCTTTTATTCATTAATAGTTTTCTTCCTTGTTTCTCATTCTATCCCTTTTTCTCCCAGGTGGTTTCCAGCTCAGGTAGCTGGCACCCTTATAGTATCCCTTATATGAATGACTCATTTACTATGACACCTCACCAAATTATTTTCATTTAATTTTTATTGATCTGGTCAGCCCCTAATAGAGGGGTTTTCTGCCCAAAGCTCTGAGCAAGGCATTCTTGACCTCTTTGTTCCTCAGGCTGTATACAACAGGGTTCAGCAGTGGGGTGATGACAGTGTATGTCACAGAGATAAGTCTGTTTTGCAGAGAATTTTGGGATTTGAGTTTTCGGTAGATGAAAGAGGTACAGCCATAATGAACAATGACCACTGTGAGGTGTGAGGCAGAAGTGGTGAAGGCCTTTTTCGAACCCTCAACTGATGAAATCTTGAGAATGGTGGTGACAATCAGGACATAAGGTATAAAGATCAAGACCATGGGCAGGACAAGGACACAGAGACTGATGAGCAAAATGATGAATTCTTGGATGGTAGTGTCTGCACAGGCAAGCTTCATTAGGGGCTGAATATCACAAAAAAGTGGGAGGTGATGTTGGCATCACAGAAGGGCAGACTGAACACAGAAGACACCTGAATGATAGCTGTCCTCAGGCCAATGCTCCAGCAGCCACTTGCCAAATGTATATAAGCCTTTTTGCTCATGATGACTGGGTATCACAGGGGGTTGTAGATGGCCACATAATGGTCATATCCCATGGTTGTGAGCAGAAAGCAGTTGTTGATACCAAAATTGAGGTAGAAGAGTTGGGTGGCACAGTCTGGGATGGAGATGGCTTGTTGGGGGTTTAGGAGAGTAGATAGCATTCGGGGGATGATAACTATGATGTAACAAGTCTCAGAAATGGAAAGCACACTCAGAAAGAAGTACATGGGTATGTGAAGTTGACAGTTAAGGTGGATAACTGTCAAGATGACAGCATTGCTGGCAAGAGTTAACAGGTACAAGACCAAAGAGATGACAAAGAGGATGAGTCTATGATGCCACGCAAAAATGGAGAAGCCCTCAGAGGTAAACTATCACAGCTGTGAAATTGGATCTTGGCATTGAGGCGATACTGGATCTGAAAGAGACAAAGTGGGAAGATTGAGCATCTGGGCTGAAAGAAATAGGCTGGTCCCGGATCATCATTGCCTCATGCAGGGTCTCAGAAGGGTATAGCTCTGGATGTCAGAGGCTCTCAACATTCAGACGCCGGCCAAGTGCTCAAAGGTCTCCAAGGTTCTCTGGGACCCAAACTGGGGATGTAATATGTGGGCAAGGGGGAATAAATATGTAAAGGGACTACAGATGCCCTTCAACTTATGATGAGGTTAGTCCCTATACGCCCATGATAAGTTGAAAATATTGTAAATGGAAAATGCATTTAACACACTTAACCTACTGAATATCATAGCCTAGTCTAATGTACCTTTTTAAATTTTTATTTTTAAATTTTTTATTTTAAAGATGTGGAGTACAATTTGGGGTTAAGTATACAAATACACATTATGCAGGTAACCTACCTTAAATAAACTCAGAACACTTACTTTAGACTACAATTGAGAAAGTTACAACACAAAGCTTATTTTAAAATGAAGTGTTGAGTAGCTCATGTAACATATTAAATATGGTACTAAAGCTAAAAACAGAAAGGTTATATGAGTACTCAAAGGCTGGTTTCTATTGAATGTGTATCACTTCACACTATTGTAAAGTAAAAAACTCATACAGCGAGTGATTGCATGTGCTGGAAACCCTTAACTAACTTGACTAGAAGATGTAGACCAGAGATGGCCCTGAATGAGTATGCCCAGCCCTGAAACTCCACTCAAATTCATCTTGTTAAAATCAGCAATGGCTCATCACATGTCAGACGCCAGGGCCAATGGCTATGCCTAAAAAGTCAGTGAGTTCAAGCCAGGGGCAGATGGCCTTGCTGAGTACATGCCTGGGAGGTGAGAAGCCAGCTCCAACTCTTTTCAGAAGAACTTCCATTTGGTGAGTCAAGGCACAAAACACTGCCTTCTCTCAAGGTGTAAACTCAAAACGGCCAATGTCTGGACCAAGGCAGTGAAAGGATACATTGCTTTTTTTCTTATGGAGAGTTCAGCATGTGGACCCAGAAGACTGTGTGGTGCAGAGCCAACTCTCTTTTCAATCCCTCTTCCTTTCTCTAGCCCCCAAATATCCTTTGTTTTAGTGCCCGAGTCTCTCATATTCTGTGTGGAGGGTAGTTTCGGCTTCTATTTTCTAGTCTCTAGTTAAGCACAATAAAGGCTCTGAAAGCTTTTTATGAGTTTGAAATACTAGTAACTATAAGACAATAGCAATGAAAACAAAATATTTAAGTTTATAGAAATCTCTGGCTTTAACCCCAGTGCAAATGGAGGGACGCCTGATCTTCTTTGCTCGTTTCATTTGTCTCCATTTGATAATCTATAAAATGGTGAGAAAAATAATATCTACTCCATAGTGTTGCCATGGAGATTATATGAATTGCTGTATATAAATTGCCAAGTGCGATTTTTTTATACATAGCAAGCAAACAATACCTTAAATTTCTCCTTTCTTACCTTCACCTGTCCTACCCATTCCCACTCCTCATAACTCTGATTCTATTTGTATGTTAGGGCCACCCAAGCAGACACAAACACACAAACACACACACACACACACACACACACACACACTTTCTTTCTCTCTCTTTTCATGTTCATAGATGGTTGTTGTCTTTAATTTCTCCACTCACTACTGATTGGAAAGTCCAGTCTTCGCTTTCCACACACACCTCCCTTCCGACTCTAGATTCTGAAACGTGTAGAAATGGGGGTGAAGGTGGTCTGAAATCAAACACTTCTGTGATCAAACTCCAGCATCATTTATTTCATGTGTGACCTTGGAAACAGTTTTGATCTCTTTGGGCTTTAATTTATTCACCTGTAAGCTGAAAACAATGCTAATGTCTACTTGAGATAATTTTGATATGAGGATTCCACAAGAATCTGCCTCTAAAAGGCATTTTACCTTTGTGAACTCCGCCTATGATTCACTAAGGCTGGTGCCCAGATAATCCTTTCTGGGTGATTTTTTTCAGTATGTAGGCCTTCTAGTCTTTATGTTTTTTGGCACAACTGTATATCCATTTTTCTACTTGATAATATTTCTAAGAGATAAAAGAAACAGAAAAAGTCCTATGAGACAAGAGTCATGAGATCACATTTAGTTGCACAAGATTCGCTGCTTCATTGAATCTTCAAATGTGTCTTACATCTCCTTGGGCAGGATTGAGGCTTATTCAGGATTCAGGAGAATGAGACTCGAAATCACAACTTCCAGGACTGCTATGGCAGACACAACACACATAGTATCTTCCGAAGGGGAGGACTTGAAGAAAAGCATAGAATAAACCAGGATCTTTTAGTTAATTTCTCTCCCCGATTGCTTAGAACTGAAAGTAACAAACATACCAAAAGCAGCACCAGGCTCTTGGGTGCCTCCCCATTTCTCTGTCCCTTTAAGTCTGAATCGCAGGCTGTCAGAGAGGACCATTCTCTTGTATCCCAAGACTCTGGAGTCCCTCTTCCCAAAAATCACAGTGACTGTCCCCAAGGCAGCAATAGCAAAATCCAGACACCATGATGTCTTGGGACCTCATCATAAAAGTGGCTCATCAATCCAATCATACAGAGGGTGCATAGACAATCTTAGATTTCCGACAGGAACAAAGCCTTTGCATCAGGACATGGTCATGCCTAGCTCAGTGGATGAAGAGGACCTCTGGCCTCATGATCACCATTATGGAGAGGGCCTCAGAAGCTGACCTCGTTTAAGGATGCACCTTCACTGGGCAAGTCACTCACACTCCAGGGTCTCTCTGTCCTAAGGACTGTAGGACCTATCTCTGAGGTCCCCTCAATTTGAATGTTGTAAGAACTGTGACTTAACTATTTATCAGTTGATCAAAAAATGCTCATCGAACATCTCTCACATGCCAGTTCCACAGAATGTAGCAGAATTGGGGTCACTGCATCTGCACTTCAAGCCAGTTTTGCTGGTTTTGCTTTCTGTGGGCATCACCATATATTACCTCAGAAAAAGCTGAGCACCTTCTCCTTGAAGACGATCAGGAGGAAGGCCTTCATTGGAGTCGTTTCTGCAGCCCCTTGTTTCTTTCTTCTAACATTAGTCAGTCAGCAGACCCAGCTTTATTTCCTTTTCATAATGTGAGCCCAAGATGATCCTCTGCAAAGGTTAGAGGAGAATCAGGTATCAAATCCACCAGGCTCCCCGGGACTTGGACTGTTCAGTAATTCCTAGTTCCAGTGCCCAGTTTATGCCTGTCTCTTACAGGTTCAAAAAGCAGGAGTTTCCCTTTTTAAGTACCAACATATTGAGAAATGAATACCTGAAAGCAAGACCATTTTTCGTGGTGTCTTTGACAAGCCAAGGAAGCTGAGAGAGACTGACAAGCATGGAATAATTGCCAGACATTCAGTTATATTCCTTATAATCTCTTTTAAGGCTCTCAAACATTTACCCAAGAGAAACTGGAAATACTTGCATTCATAAGCTGTTAAGATCAAGAGTCCCACAGCTAAGAGATGAATTTAGAGTATATTTATCACTACGTGAGGACGACCAATGTGTAACCTCATTAGGGCTGTTTGGAATTTTTCAGAGAGCAGGCAAAGAAAGTCTTAAGGTCAGGCAGCAGGTCCTAAGAAGACCTTGAAATAATTGGTTAATCTTGGGCCTTTTTTTTGTCAATGTCCCTTCTTCATAGTTGTTCTGGTAGCTCTATTTAAACATGTAGCTCATTGAAATTAGAAATAGAGTGGAGTTGAAATTCATGAGAACAAAATAACAGCCCTAATACTGAAATTATGAACAGAAAAATGGCTGATTAAAAAAATATGATTCTTACGGTGTGCTTATCTGAAATAAGATGGGATTGGCAAGAGGTTGAAAAAATCTAGAGTAAATGGAACATTTTTTTCTGAAACGGGAGAAAACATATTAATGATTAGATCATCTGTACATTTTGGCAATTTTGTTTCTTCTAATTTTTGTATTTCTTATTTATTTCTCTTGAATTACTGCATTTGGTTATGAAATATAATATTGAATCGAGCAGTTTTGGAGGCATTTTTGCTTTTTGCAGATTTTAATTTAAATGCTTCTCATATTTCATTCACCATTAAATATGATGCTTGCTATAGATCTCTGGCAGATACCCTTTATCAACATAAGGGAGTTCCCTTCTATTCCTGGTGTATTTGCAAGTTTATCATGAATGGCCTGTTAAATTTTCAGCTAATTCCTTTTCTGCATCCATTGATATAATTATATGCAGTTTATTCTTTAATTGGTTAGGGGTGAATTATATTAATAGATTTTTCTAATGTTGGCTCATTTATAGGTTTTTTTAAGGCAAGCTCTACTTGGTCTTTTTATATACTATTGAATTCAATTTGCTATTTTTTCATCTATCCATTATTGGCTGATAATTATCTTTACTTTATCTGTTTTTGGAACCAAAAGTTTGCAATTAACAGCCTCTTGAAATGCTGAGGAAATTTTATACCTTTATGTGCTCTGAGCTTGATGTCCTTTCTTGTTTGCTTGTTTTTAGAAAGCTAGGTATTTTACTACTACCATTTCCTTTTTTATAGGGTTATTATTCTAGTAAATTTTCAATTTCTTCCTTTTCTAATTATGGTAATATATCTTTTTCTCCAAATTTGCCTATTTTATGTGCCTTTTTCAAATAACTTAGTATAAAGTTGTTCAAGATATGCTTTTATAAGTATTTTGTTATTCTGTATCTGTTTTATATCTTTTTTTCTTACTTGATATTGTTTATTGTGCCTCTTGGATTTTTATTAATCATTAATGTTAAAAGTTTTATTTCTAAATCCATCTCTTCAAAGATCCAAACTTAAAACAATAGCATTTCTATTGTTTTAGTTTTCTTTGCTTTTATATTTCAAATAATTTCTGTCATTATTTGTTTATACTTCTTTAGAGTTTTTTGTTATTCTTTTCAAACTTTTTGAACTAAAATATTCATTTATTATTTTCCAGTAAACATATAAAACTATAAATTTCTTTCTGAGAACTGCTTTGAATGTACCTCATTAGTTTTGATA